TGTGCTCCAGGATCTGTGCTAAGAACTTTACTTCTACCACCTCACTGATACTGTTTGGACCAGCTCTGTTTTACGGAAGAGAAATGGGAGGCTCAGAAAGTCTGGGTAACTAGCTCAGCATCACATAGCTAGTAAGCAGCAAAACTAAGATGCAAACCCAGCGTTGGTCTGACTCTAAAGCCATACATGCTGTTTCTACCACACTCAACTGCCTCTCCAATAAATATATCACAGAAAAATGATGTGTCCCCACATTTTGTAGTGTAAAGCTGTAGAGCTGGTCAAAACCCCATTTTCTTTCCCACCTATGGCCTAATTCCTTATACTTATGCTCACCCCCCAGATCGTACAGTAGTGTATACCCACATTAAGAGGTGAGCATAGGGGCGCCTGGGTGGCTAAGTTGATTGAGTGTGCAACTTCAGCTCAGGTCATGATCTCACGGTTTGTGGGTTCAAGCCCTGCGTCAGGCTCTGTGCTGACAGCTCAGAGCCTGGAGCCCGTCTTCAGATTCTGTGTCTCCCTCTTCCTCTGCCCCTCCCCTGCTCATGCTGTCTCTCTCTCTCTCTCTCTCAAAAATAAATAAAACATTAAAAAAAAGAAGTGACCCTCAAACTTTCTATAAGTAAGAAAAAAAAATTAAAAAAAAAAAGAGGTGAGCATAATACCAAGACAGAGAGCAGCAAGCCCATGTCCCAGGGACAACAGCAATACTGGTGGCCTCTTCTGTTTCTTCTAGGTCCACAGCTGCCCTCTGGTGTTTGTCTGATTCTAGGTGTGGACCTGGAGCTAACTCAGGCTTTATCCTTTCACTCTACTTCACCTGGTTTTGTGTGGTGAGATGCCTGGACCTAACCTGGCTTTATCTCAGGTCATACATGGACTTTGGCCTCTAGATACTTTCCTGGTCTTCCTTCTGTATTAATGATCCTCCTTTCCCTTCCCCCATTTGGGCAGTCTTATACCTTCACCCTGCTCCCCACCACTGCCTGCAGGGAACTTAGCCCCTCCAGGCCTGAAGTGGCTGACCCATCCCTCATGCTGACAGTTGCATGAGGGATTATCTGCCACTCTCAGAAAGGAAGAACTAGTGGATGGTTTCACATCTTTGCAGACTGTTCCCTTGACCAGCTTATCCTTGAGGCTTATGCTCTTGACCAACACAGGCGGTGCCAGAACTCTTTCACCACTTCTGTGAAAATCTGCCATTTCTCAGAAGCCACTTTCATTTTCTATGACGTCCAAGCATAATTGCCCACTAATAATAGTATGGAAGAGGATGTGAAGATTCTTAAATTCCTCTCAGGAAAATACCAAGTTACTCAGTTAACTAACACATTTTGGATGAAAATTGCTGTAGGGAATAGGAGATGTAGGCCCTGTGCTCTGAGCATCCAGGCATGTGAAACCCTCTCTGGTCCAGTAATGATACCACCAGTCAAATCCTTTCAGAATGTGTGCTACAGGACAAATATTCTATCCCAGTTCAGTAGACAGAGTTACCTCTGCAGCCACTGGAGGCTGTGAGGCACTAATCCTGCCAGACAGTTGTCCCTCTGTCAGGCTTCAGACCTCCGTCCCTTAGTTCTACCATGCTTAAATTCTCTAAACCAAAAGGAGCTCTATGTCTCATGGATGTTCCAAAAACAGCAGGACCTATTTTTTTTTCTCTTTCAAGTTTTTATTTAAATTTTTGATCATTAACATACATTGCAATATTAGTTTCAGCAGTAGAATTTAGTGATTTATCACTTACATACAACAACCAGGGCTCATCACTCGTGCCCTCCTTAATACCCATCACCCTCTAGCCCATCCCTTGCCAACCTCCCTCCATCAATTCTCAGTTTATTCTCTATATTTAAGAATCTCTTATGGTTTGTTTCCCTCTCACTCTCTTTTTTCCCCCCTTCCATATGTTCATCTGTTTTTTTTCTTAAATTCTACATATGAGTGAAATCATATATTTGTCTTTCACTGACTGACTTGTTTCACTTAGCATAATATACTTAAGCTTCATCCATGTCGTTGCAAATGGCAAGATTTTATTCTTCTTTTTTTCAATGTTTATTTATTTTTGAGAAAGCATGAGTGGGGGAGGGGCAGAGAGAGGGGGATGGAGGATCCGAACTAGGCTCTGCACTGTCAGCAGTGAACCTCATATGGGGCTCCAACTCATGAACTTGGAGATCATGATCTAACCTGAAGTCAGACACTCATTTAACTGAGCCACCCAGTTAGATGTCATTCTTTTTGATACCTGAGTATATTTCCCATTTAATATATATATATATGTATATATATATACCAAACCTTCTTTATCCATTTATCAGTCAATGGACATTTAGGCTCTTTCCACAGTTCTGCTACTGTTGATAATGAGCAGGACCTATTTTAAATCAAAATGGCCCTAGGGCGCCTAGCTGGCTCAGTCAGAAAAGCATGTAACTCTTGATCTCTGGGTTGTGAGTTCAAGTCTCATCTTGTGTATAGAGATTTACTTAAATAAATAAATAAACTTAAAAAGAATTTAAAAATAAAACTTAACACTGTAAAAAAAAAACAAACTCAGAATGGCCCTCAGAATACCAGGGACATAGTAGTCTTAGACATATTTCAAATTGAGGAGCTTGTTCTAAGGACCTTCCCAAGAGATGGGAAGATGCTGACCTTCTGCAGCCTTATCTGGGCATTAGAGACACTCCTAATATAGTCAGCCTTGAGAAGCTATCTCTGCATTTATTGTTTTATGCCATTAGTAAAGGTTGCGAAGCCTGCTCTAGGTTAAACATCACATCCTAAGGCATTCAGATTTCACATATATTCACATCCTATAATGTGTTGGAAAGAACTCACTCCAGGACCACTCACAATCCCTACCTTGATAGTCTCCTACTTTCTATCCAAGAAGAGTAATTCTGCCCTGATCACTCCTCATCTTTCCATAGCTCAAGGACTAATCCTTTCATGGGATTCTCTACCTGAATCATACACTTTGAACATCACCCAGAAATGTCCTCTGTATTCTCTGGTACCCTCTTCCTCCCTTGACTTTTCTCTGGAAGGTATTTTTGATTCTGGAACATTTCCCTCCCACTTAACTCCACTACACATTTCATTAAACAAATGGAAAAAGTAGAAGGAAATCACATTTACTGTACTTCTTCTATTGGCAGGCACAGTGGAGGTCTTAACGCACATCAACATATTTATCCTTCACAAAGTCCTTATAGGAAATGAAATGCAGGGAATTTAAAACTTTGCTAAAGTCACCAGCTATGAGGTGGTATCATCAGCTATTATGGAAGAGTTGGAATTTGAACCCAGGAGCTCTTAGGCTCCAAAGATACGGCCTTTTCCAGCATATTCTATACCTCCCAAACACAGACAGCCTATTCTGTACACTGCTAGTCCCTTCCCTGTATGCCTGTGTATGCGTGTCCTGATGATTGTTCCCAAAAGTTACAATATACAGTTGATCCTTGAACTACATGGGTTTGAACTGCACGGGTCCACTTGTAAGCAGATTTTTTTTGATAAATATAGTACAAAACTGTAAATGTATTTTCTCTTCCTTATGATTTTCTTAATTATATTTTCTCTAGCTTACTTTATTGTAGGAATACAGTATATAATACTACCACATATTAAATATGTGTTAGTTAACTGTTTATATAATCAGTAAAGCTCCCAGTCAACAGCAGGCTATTAGTAGTTAAGTTTTGAGGGAATCAAAAGTTATACATGGATTTTTAACTGGTGGGGAGGGGATTGATGCCCCAACCCCCATGTTGTTCAAGGGTCAACTGTACTTCATACCAAGTCTTTTCTTCTAATCAAAGCTAAGATCAAACTAATATGAGATTAGACTAGAAGCATTCTTTTAAAAATAAAAATAAAAATAAAGCAGCAGTCTCTCATTAACACTCTGGGGGAAATTTCACGGTTTCTCAAAATTCAACAGTATCAGTAAGCAAGCTGGGGATTTTCAAATGGTGTGGGGCTGACATATACCACTAGGGCAGAGTTTCAATGTTGCATTTGTTTTCCAGAAAAAGAGCTCAGCATAAAATGCAGCTAATAGTGAGGTTTTGTTTGGGTTTTTTGCATAATAAAAGTCGTAACTGAGCAACATTAGCTACAGACACTCCTCCCCATAAATCCATGGAGACTGTGAAAAGCATTTCAGAGAAATACAAACCCCAAGTAGTCTTTGGCAAGGGGTAATTTGCCATGATGATAGTTAAATAAGGAGAATACTGAGTAGCTGACTACAAAGAAGCATCTGAAAATAAAACTAGCTGTGGCTCAAGTCCTTCCATTGAAAATGTATATAAAATATCTCACATGTGGCAGCCTAAATTGGTCTCTTCTTTTTATAAGGCAAATTTGACAACGCATACCAAGAAGCTTAAATCATACCCTTTTGACCTAATAATCCCACTCCTAAAAATTTATCTCAAGGAAAAATGTCATAAGAATAAGGAAAACTATACATATTTTATAGCAACATTATTTAAAAACAGCGGAAAACTGGAAACAACCTAATTTTCCAATCATACAGGAAGGGCTTAATACATTTTAGTATCTTAATTCTTTGAGATAATCTGAAGCTATTAAGAATATGATCACAGTGCACAAAGGAGGAAAGAGCATTCGGTGAAAGGCATAGAACACAGAAATGCAAATATGTAGTGGTTACAGACGTGTAAAAATTCAGAAGTTGATAAAGACTAGGAAGGGGCAAAAAAAGATAAAAAACAGTTACGTTAGCACATTGAGATTACAACTCTTAAACAAATTTTTCTTCTGTAATGACTATTAATTTTTTAGGCATTTTTTTCTTGTTTTCCATCTACAACTTCTATTGAATCGTGTTTATAATTATTTTTGGATCAGAAGATTATTTTTCAAAGAATACAGATTGAATATTCTAGCCAAGTATGAAATATAGAGAATTACTAATTTGCAAATACTAATGCTATTGTTTTAATTTGCAGTGAAGGGAATTTGGCTACAAAGCAGGTTGTGTTCCTTCAGAGACCAGTTATGTGGAATTCAGCTGCTCAAACACCAGAAGTGAGTAAAATCAATGCTTTTTTTTTTTAAGTTTATTTATTTATTTTGTGAGAGAGAAGGAAAGAGAGAGCGCACTGGAGCGCACACACGCTCAAAGGCAGGCTCTAGCGGGGGAGGGGCAGAGAGAGAATTCCAAGCAGTGTGGAGCCCAACACGGGGCTCAGTCCCACAAATGTGAGATTATGACCTGAGCTGAAATCAAGAATCAGACATTTAACCAACTGAGTCACCCAGGCGTCCCAATGCTTTATTAACTAAATACTATGGAAGCATTTAATCCTTAAACTCACGTTGTAATTCTAAATGGTGAATAACAGATAAGGAAATGTGGACTTGATATGGAAATAGTCTCCAAACCAACATAACAACAAAGGAAATGTGCCAGTAACATGTGATATGAGACAGTTCTGAAGGGGATCAAAATATGTTACCCCCATATTTGCCACTGTGGCAAAGGATTGTTTTGAGCTGAAGGTAATTAAGAAACACAGACATAGGAGTAACTTTCTACCCTCTCTTTTTCTCATAAAAAACAGGGAATAAATTTCCCTTTTTAAAGTTAACATAGGGGTACCTGGCTGGCTCAGTCAGTAGAGCAGGGAACTCTTGGTATTGTAAATTCAAGCCCCACGTTGGGTGTAGATATTACTTAAAAATAAAATCTTTTTTTTTTAAAGGTAACGTAAATTTCCATTTGTAAAATTGTGCTTTCCTATACCAGGAAGAGGAGAAGACTCCTAATCACTAGAAATGATTCCTCACTGGAGACAGCACTGACTTGGGTCTACATAAATAAATCTTACTAAAATAACCCTTATCTTCCATTAGGTTCTCCACATACTTACCTTTCTACAATTCCCTACCCATAGATGCCAAATCCCTGTTCCTTTGTCTGGTCATTTCTCCACAATCTATCATCCTTTGCTAAAATCATGTATAAGCTTTCAGATCTAACTACCACTTTGGGTTTTCACTATTTCTCTGTGAAGCCCCATGTATATCCAAACTAAACCTTTTCTGGGGGAGACGAAGGGGGAAAATAGTGGGGGAGAGGGAGGGAGGCAAACCACGAGGGCTCAGCAGAGAATGTGTTGTTGGACAGACAGACTCTTGAATGCCGAGAACAAACTGAGGGCAGATCGGGGTGGGAGAGAGGGGTAGGGGGGTGATGGGCATGGAGGAGGGCACTTGTGGGGATGAGCACTGGGTGTTATATGGGAACCAACTTGATAATAAACTATTTAAAATTTTAAAAAACTAAACCTTTTCTCCTGTTAATCTATCTTTTGTTTAATTTGCAGGCCTCAGGTACTGAAATAAGAGGGTAAAGGAAAAGTTTTTTGCAAGCGAGTGTGCCTGCCTAATATTGCAACATACACCTGTCCAATCTTATCTATCTTGACCTCTGAAGCTACTTCTTTTTCATTCTTTTTTTTTTAATGTTTCATTTATTTCTGAGAGAGAGAGACAGTGTGAGCAGGGGAGGGTCAGAGAGAGAGGGAGACACAGAATATGAAGCAGGCTCCAGGCTTTGAGCTGGCTGTCAGCACAGAGCCCAATGTGAGGCTTGAACCCACGAACTGTGAGATCATGACCTGAGCCGAAGTCGGCCACCTAACTGACCGAGCTACCCAGGTGCCCCACTTCTTTTTCATTCCTAATTTTAGCTTTTATTTATCATTTTATTTTTATTATTGAAGCATAGTTGACATAGGTTATGTTAGTTTTAGGTGCACAACTTAGTGATTCGGCAATTCAATACATTATGCAGTGCTCACCCCCGTAAGTGTAGTTACTGTCTGTCACTATACAATGTTATTACAATGTTATTGACTCTTATTTCCTGTGTTGTACTTGTCATCTTCATGACTTCCTTACTTTATAGCTGGGGTTTGTACCTTAATCCCCTTCAACTATTTTACCCATCCTTCCACTCCCTTTCTCACTGTCAACCACCAATTTGTGTTCTGTATTTATTATTCTGTTTCTGTATTTTAAATTTTTTATTGGTTTTGTTTTTTAGATTCCACATATAAGTGAAATCATATGGCATTCGTCTTTGTCTGACTTATTTTACTTAGCACTATACTCTCTAGATCTATCCATGTTATTGCTAAAGGCAAGACTTCCTTCTTTTTTTATGGCTGAGTAATATTGCATTGTATGTGTATACCACACCTTCTTTATCCATTCATTATCAGTGGACACTTGAGTTGCTTCCATATCTTGGCTATTGTAAATAATGCTGCAATATACATAGGGGTACATATCTCTTTTTTGAATTAGTGTTTTCATATTTGGGGGGTAAATGCCCAGAAGTGGGATTACTGGATCATCATAGTATTTCTATTTTTAATTTTTTGAGAAACCTCCATACAGTCTTCCACAGTGGCTGCACCAATTTACCCTCCTACCAACAGTGCACAAGGACTCCTTATTCTCCACATTCTTGCCATTCTGACTGGTGTGTGGCTTTGATTTCCACTTCCCTGATGATGAATGTTGAGCATCTTTTTATATGTGTGTTGGACATCTGTATGTCTTCTTTGGAGAAATGTCTGTTCAGGTTCTCTGCCCATTTTTTAAGCAGACTTTTTTTTTCGGTGTTGAGTTGTATGAGTTTTTTATATGTTTTAGATGTTAACTTCTTACCCTATATATCATTTGTAAATATCTTCTCCCTCTAAGTAAGTTGCCTTTTCATTTTGTTGATGATTTACTTTGCTGTGCTAAAGCTTTCTAGTTTGATGTAATCCCAATAGTTTATTTTTGTTTTTGTTACTGTTGCTTGACGAGACATATCCAGGAAAATGTTGTTAAGGTCAACATCCAAGAAATTACTGCCTGCTTATGTTTTCTTTTAGGAGTTTTTCTGGTTTCAGGTCCTACGTTTAGGCCTTTAATCCACTTTGAGTTTAAGACCTTTATTTTTAGAATTTGTTTATTTATTTATTTACTAAGCAATTTTCTAAATAGCTTGAGAATTTTTTAAGAAAATGAAAAGGCAAACAACAGACTAGGAGAAAAAACCCTTGTAAATCACATATATGACAGAGAACTTGTATCTTGAATGCATTAAGAACTCTAAAAACTCAACAGTAACAAACAATCTAGCTAAAAAATAGTATAGAGACTTGGATATCTCACCAATAAAGATGTTAATAAGAGAAATAAGCACTTAAAAAGACATTTAAATCATTAGCCATTAGGGAACTATAATGAAAACCATAGTGAGAGACCACTCTAAACCAATAAGAATGACTAAAATAAAAAATATTGACAATACCAAGAACTAGCAAAGGAGAAGAGCAATTGGAACACTCAAACAATGCTGATAGGAATGCAGGATGGTACAAACACTCTGGAAAACCAATTTGCCAGCTTCTTTTGACATTAAACACACACTTAACAATATGAAACAGCAAAACCACTTTTGGGTATTCACCCTAGAGAAATAGAAATAGAATAGAAATGTTTATGTCAGTTCTATTTATAATCTTCAAAAACTGGAAATAATCCAACTGTCTTCAACAGGTGAATGGCTAAACAACTATGGTATATCCATCCATACAATAAAATTCTACTCAGAAAAAAAAAAAGAAATGCAATAATTACATGCACAATATGTTGAATTAATTGCAAAAACATACTGATTAAAAGAAGTCAGCTTCAAAAGATTACAGAAAGAAAAATCTACTGAAAAAAAGGCAGCCTACTGAATTGGAGGAGATATTTGCAAAAGGCATATCTGATAAATGGTTAATATCCAAAATATATAAAGAACTTACACAACTTAACACACACAGAATAAAACAAATAATCCAATTAAAAATGGGCAGAAGACATACAGATGTTCCACACACACATGAAAAGATGTTCAACATTACTCATCATCAGGGAAACGCAATGAAAGCCACAGCGAGAGATCACCTCATATCAGACAGAACGGCTAATATAAAAAAAAATAAGAAATAACAAGTATTGGAATCCTGTGCACTATTGGTGGAAGTGTAAATTGGTGCAGCCACTGTTGAAGACTGTATGGAAGTTCCTCAAAAAATTAAAAATAAAAATACCATTATGATCCAGTAATCCCACTTCTGGGCATTTACCCCCCAAAATGTAAAAACACTAATTCAAAAAAGAGATATGTACCCCTATGTATACTGCAGCATTATTTACAATAGCCAAGATATGGAAGCAACCCAAGGGCTCATCAATAGATGACTAGATAAAGAAGGTGTGGTATATACATGCAATGGAATATTACTCAGACATAAAAAAGACTGAAGTTTTGCCATTAGCAACAACATGGACAGATCTAGAGAGTACGATGCTAAGTGAAATAAGTCAGAGAAAGACAAATGCCATATGATTTCATTCATAAGTAGAATTTAAGGAACAAAACAAACGAACAAGGAAAAAAAAAAGACAAACAAAAAAACCAGACTCGTATACAGAGAGAACAACTAGTGGTTACCAGAGGAGAGGTGGGTGTGGGAGGGAAGGACAAAATGGGGGTGGAGATAAAGAGTACACTTGTCGGGACACCTGGGTGGCTCAGTTGGTTAAGCGTCCGACTTCGGCTTAGGTCATGATCTCACAGTTCGTGGGTTCGAGCCCCATGTCAGGCTATGTGCTGACAGACTCAGAGCCTGGAGCGGGCTTCAGGTTCTGTGTCTCCCTCTCTCTCTGAGCCTCCCCTGCTCACGCTGTCTCTCTCGCTCTCTCAGAAATAAATAGTTTTTTTAAAAAAATGTTTTAGGGGCACCTGGGTGGCTTAGTCGGTTGAGCGTCCGACTTTCGCTTAGGTCATGATCTCGCGGTTCGTGGGTTCGAGCCCCGCGTCGGGCTCTGTGCTGACTGCCAGCTCGGAGCCTGGAGCCTGTTTCAGTCTGTGACTCCCTCTCTCTCTGACCCTCCCCTGCTCATGCTGTCTCTCTCTCTCTTTCTCTCTCTCCTAGAAATAAATAAAACATTAAAAAAAAATTTTAAAAACA